GAGGAGAGAGGAGGAGGAGGAGAGAGGAAGAGAGGAATAGCAGGAGGAGGAGAGGAGGAGGAGAGAGGAGAGAGGAAGAGAGGAATAGCAGGAGGAGGAGGAGGAGGAGGAGAGAGGAGGAGGAGGAGAGGAGCAGCTTCTTCCTCCTGTAAGATTTTCCTGCTGGATATTTTACTGACAGACAGATGATGTGTGTCCAAACACCCCCCACCACCACCCGGTTCTGATTGGTCGGTTCTGTTGGGGGGGGGGGGGGGGGTGTCTCCTGTATTTAAGCCAAGAACCGGACCGGGACCAGGTCTGTGACCAGATGTTTGAGTGTTCAGTCCGAACCGGACCGGACCATGCCCAGAGGCTTCCTTGTGAAACGGACCAAGAGGACCAGTCCGGGGTGGTACCGGGTCCGTTCTGATGATGATCACGAACCGGACCAGAGTCCAGTCTGCGCTCCGGTTCCGCCCTGCGGAGCCGCAGTTCCGGAACCGGACGAGAAGCCGGTCCGGTTCGGGAACCCAGAATGTGTGCACCAGGCGCTCTGCAGCCCGACCCGGCCAGTGAGCCGGAACCAGAACCGGGACCTTGTGTCTCCGGTGTCAGCGGTCCCGTTGACCCTGAGAGTCGGAACCAGCCGGTCCAAACGACCTTCTGAAGACCCGGAGCGCGGATCCACCTGCAAGAGGACCAGAACCTGCAGGAAGCTGCACTTAGAGGATGACGTCACCACGTCTCCGGTTCTGGGGCTGAAGATCAAAGCGGCTCCAGCTGACGGAGGAGCGGAACCGGACCGGAACCGGGGCGGGTTCGTGTGCCAGCTGTGCAGAGAGTCCTACCGGGACCCGTTCTCTCTGGCCCAGCACAGGTGCTCCAGGATAGTCCGGGTCCAGTACCGGTGTCCGGACTGTGACAAGGTCTTCAGCTGCCCCGCGAACCTGGCCTCCCACCGGCGCTGGCACCGACCCGGACCTCCGAACCGGGCCCGGGACAAGGGCTCCGAGTGCGCCCAGTCCGGTCCGGAGAGGCCGAAGGACTGGACGGTCCGGGACTCGTGTAGTCCCGGTCCGTCCGAATCCGGGTCAGAGGAAGGACCGGACTCCCGTCAGCGCGGGAAAACCTTCAAGCGCCGGACGAGGCGCGTGACGTCACAGCACCGCCAGCAGAGGCACGCGCCTGTCAACCTGGGCGCGTCCACGTGTGGAGAAAGCTTCGCGTGCACAAGAAGTCAGGAACGTCACTTCCGGCTCCAACACGCCTCACCTGTGTTCACGTGTAGAGAGAGCCCCGCCCACTTGTACAACTTCTGACCCGGGTCTGATCAGAACCAGTTTGTTTGTTTGTTTGTTTGTTTGTTTGTTTGTTTGTTCGTTTGCTGTAATCAAAGTTTTATCAGAATAAACGAACATTGGTGATTGATTTACTTGTTTAGTTCAGGCTGGAGTAAAACAGATCCAGGTGTTCCAGGTGTTTGAAAGGTCCGTTCCAACAGAACCTTCAGAACTCGGTCCAGTTCAAGTTCTGCTCAAACAAAAGCTTTCAAGTTCAAAGGTGAACCTTCACTTCGATTATTAATTAAAACCAATAATTATTTCATGTTCAACAACTGGTCCACGAGCTCCCACTCAGGATTATTGATCAATATCAAACCACTTATTTGTGATTATTGATCAATA